GAGAGGAACCTAACTTTCTCATTGAACTCTTCAGTCTCTCCTGATCACTGTTGACCGTCACAGATAAGGTGAGAAGTGTCATGAATCACTTTGTCTCTGTGCCTCAATGGAATGCACTGGCTAATTGCTTCTTGTGAATATGAGATGGTAGTTAGATAATGAGGACAATTACATTAATAGAAGCCTATACTACTGAGTTAATAATGACTATATTAAGAATACAAAGAATAAATAGCTAAGCATTTGTGAGTCCCGGTGAGCACAATGCAGATTGTGGTGCTAATGGAACAGAGCATATTTTTATACCAATAGATCAATAGGAAGAAAAAGAAAATTAGACTTAGAAGGGAATGAAACAGAGAGGGCGTGTGAAAACAAGACCTGTCCACGCCCAGCAGTGACCCTCAGCGGAAGGGGAGAGTCTGCAAAAAGGCTGTGGAGGGTGAACCCAGACTTCCTGCCTGAGGATGGCAAGACACTGGCAACCAAACACTGGGATCAAAGGACACGAGTGATCAAATAAGGAGGCCTTTTGTGAGTGTCCGGCTTCCTGGAGAGGGAGAATATAAACAGAGATAGTAGCTTTCACAAAGCAGTAGTATCTACAAGACCTGCGTATAAAGAGCCCTCTGGAGCTGAAATGTCTCAGGGGTATTACATCAAAACACCACACTGGAATCCCTCCTCCCTTCCTCTTCTGTCATAGCAGACTGCTCTAAAAAGTAAGTGAAGAATTCTGTGTGTGAAAACGCTGTGTCTGGAGGAATGCAGAACAAAATTGAAATCCCAGGTCTCTTTGTAACTGATCTGAAGATCTTCCCAGGCTTCCTTTCCTGCTGGCCTCTTTCTGTTTCTCTGAATCTGCAAGTTGCAAAGGAATTCACGTAGATCAACAGGAAGAGATGCCAGCATCGCGCTCCTGCCTCCTATGGGAAGGCCAGTTCGTGTCCCTGGGTCTTTAATTTCAAGGCAACAATTAATTAATTAATTAACTAATACCTTGGTGCCCATCCCTCCAGCTATTCAGAAGGAAGGTGGCACAAAGTGGGAGTCCTTTCCTCCTGGTCTGACTTAGCAAGGCACTCTGTTAGCATCTGCATTCACAGCTCATAACTCAATTCTGTGACAACTCGAAGATTGCCTTTTTTTTTCTGGCTTTTTTTTACACTGCATATTTTCAAACAAACTCCTCAGCTAAGAATTGGTAATTTAGTAATCCGTGTAGGTACGACTCTCAAACTTGAAGACATTGTTAAAGATGTGAGTTCCTTAAGACTGAGATCTCAGGAAGTGAGAGTCCAGGAGTCCTCCTGTGGCCTGGGACATGTGTGCAACAAACATTTCAGGCATCCATGATGAGGGCTGCCTGCCACCACAGGGACAATGAGACAAAGCTGCTCCCTGGACTGGCCGCAGTCTATGCCTCTGGCCTCACGTTTGGAGCTCTTTGTGTAGACCATAGCTGCCTCTTTAAACTTGCATTTTCCTCCAGAGACTGTGGTCACACTGCCCTGTGCTCTCTGCTGGTGTCTGCTAACTTTGTTGTATTTTTTATTCTAATCACAACTGGGCTTGGTGTTGTCTGAGGCCCCCAAAGAAACACAGATTCTTTCCTCCCTGAAATGTAGGTAAAATGGAATAAGAAGAACTGGGAGGTGCTTTTTATTGGATCTCTTACCAGCCTTCAATCTACATTAATACAACCAATAGTATCGTCAACTGTCCTCCAAAGTATTTATAAGAGGCTCAGGAAGATGAAACACATACAGAGAACACAGCAGAGACAGGAACAGGAGGAAGAGGAGTCATGACTTGGATTTGACAGTAGTGATTGGACATCAGCTACCCTGAATTGATTCTTTCATAAATTCACAGATAGATTAATTAGCTGAGCTTCTCCCTCCTGCAGCCAACTTTAACTGGATTCTTCTAACACATACTTACAGTTTCTACTGGTCTTTACCGAACAGCAGTGCATTCATCATCTTTAGTTGCTTTGGATTCTCTTGTCCTCACTGCTGCTTGGAAGACTGCGGTGTGTCTGGCTGGGTGGCAGGCTCACAGCAGACAGCCCTTCCTCAAATACCCACTGCCCTGTCGGCTCTTACACCAACACTATTCATAGCTGAACTCTTGATCATTGGGTTCATAAATCCTAAATCTTTATGCTTTTATTGATTTTGAAGATCAATAAATAATTGTGAATGCTAGTTACTTGACAAAGATCAACTGTTCTACTTTATTGATACCTTAAATATTTTCAAACTTATTGAATGTTTACTTAATCTCAGATAACTCCCTACACTGCCCAATTTAAATTGAAAGTATTTAAACCAATATGGATTGAAACTCCAGCATGTAAACACACCGCCTCCTTCATCACTTATCACCCATGGTGACTCCCAACAGCATACTAGGAAAAGAGGTCAAGAAACCCTACAGGCTGTCTCAGCAAAGTGATGAAAGCCAATATCAGCAGTGTTAAATCCTGTTAATATTACGCATCCTTGATATGATGTGCTGATCCAGTCTAATTATGGGGAAAAATCAGGCACATTTTAATTAAGGACATTCCAGGAAATATCTGCTCAGTGCTCAGTTAAACTGCCACAATGAGAGGAGTCTAAGGAGCTATATAACAGGTAAAGGCAGCGTGATGTCTTGGTGAGATCTCCGAATGGATAATGGATTTACTATTATGTTTGAGATCTAGAACGTCCCCCAGAATCTCATTCATTCAGAGATGGATAATTTGGAAGGTGACTGAGTGAAGAAGGTACTATCAGTAGACCTACCCACTTGTAAGTACATAGCTGAATATGTCATCAGAAGGTGGCCCTGTTGGAGGATGTGCCTTTGAAGGGTGCATCTCTCTCGCTGGTTTCTTCTGGGCTTTCTGCACCCTGACTGCATGAGGTGAGCAGCTCTGGGCTGCTGTACCCTTGCACCATACCATTTCTACCTTAGACCAGCCAAGATTGGACTGAATTCCCTGAACTGTAAGCCCAATGAAGTCATCTCCTTTAAATTGTGTCAGTTATTGTGTTCCAGTGACTAACACATTTGGTAACTAAGGAAACCTGCATAAAACATGGATTGGGTTCAATTTCCGTAACGAAGAAATAATATTTTGTAACATGTTAATGAGAAATGGGATACAAAGTAAATGGCACTTCTGTGTGCTATCTGTTTAGTGTCTCAGAAAATCTATAATTGTTCTCACACGATTATTAAAAAAATGCTAAAAATATTTTTAAAATTTTTATAATGAAAAATAATATTTTTATTTAAACCACTAATATATACTTGATATCCTTTTATATATCCAGAGTGTTTAAGTTTTAAAATTTTTAAGACAGACTATTAAATGTTATATATTTTATTGTTGCCTTTTAACTGCAGTGGTTTTAACCTGGTAGGGAAGAAATAGACTATATTATACAACTTATTTCCATATGTTCTTTACTCCAAAAAAAGTCTTGAATCATTTATTCCTATTTGACACTTCCCTTTGTTTTTGCTCCCTTAATTCTTTTGTTACAAACTTTTAAAGATAAAATTTGAAACTCTCAATAGTGCATGTAATAATTTAAGCTTCACCAATTAAATATGGATTAAAATTTCATCTCCTAGTTACACAGATATAATTCAAGTGACACAAATTACGTTAGCTCACTTAGCAGGCAAAGCATGATCATCTCTATAAAGCAGAAGATTCGCGATCTATCAGAGCCATGTAAAAGTTTAATCTGCTGCATTATGCCAGTTTACGAAAACTAACAGCGCAGACACAATAGAGATGCTCTTTTTAAGAGAGATGAATAAAAATGTTTTTAATAAACTAAACTTATTATGCATAGATTTAATGATTCTACTCTCCAGTATATATTTTTGTATTATAAATGTTTTTCTATTAAAAAAAGTATGAGACATCGTTGAATTGGTTTTCGTGTAGAATTAGAGAGTCTTGTAAGGATCTATTTTTAGAAAAAGTTTTATTTTGTTAGAAGTTTTATTTTATATTCATGTTATACATACAGAATTAACCCATTTTTTCTTTTTAATATACAAAGTTAAAGTTGTAGAGAAAGTGATTATTTCTTGATTATTTCTACCCCACATATAGTGTCAATTTCTCATTAAATGGGCAAAAAAAAATCCATTTCCTGTTTAGAAACCTCTTAATCACCTCTGATGTGAGGTTTTTGAAGAAGATTACACTCAGTCCTGCTTGTGCATTAGGGATATGGCCCAGGAAGGGATTTCAATCAAATCACTTCTGGAACATGATAAGAAATAAATGTTTATATGAGAGCAGCAATGCAATAAAATAAGCAAATGAAGCAACAATAAAAGATGATGAGACTTTGAAGCTAGATGTTGGTGGTCACGTTCCCAGCTGACACACTCAGGTCAGTTGTGAGTTTTTGTGATGCCTTGGTACTTGGAGACCCATGGTCAGGTGCCCAGCAAGGTGACAAAAGTCAATTATGCAAATAGGTATGTCTGTCAATAAGGTACAAGAATAATAATTAATGTTTCTACCTTCATCTCAGCAAGGGACCACTGGGAGGAGGAACACGGTGATTAAATAGAGAGTGGGAGGAAGGAGAGGAGACAGAGAGAGATGATACTGGCAAAGAAATGGGAAGTATTTGAATTAAAGGCAATACATAGCATAACAAATCACCCTCCAACTGCACAAAGATTCAAACGCAGTAGGAATTTATTTATTTATTTATTTTTTACCATTTTCCAACCCGAGGAGTCTGTGCTGGGGATCTGCTCCTTGCCAACCCCTGAAGAATTGAGATGATGGAGGCTCTTCCATCCCTAAAACCTAAGATGTTAGAGCTGAATCCGCCTGAATAGCTAGAGAGGAAAGAATGTGGACCATGACAACAGGAAGGTCCTGAAAGTCAAGGGACTCAGGCGTGGAAATGTTGTACACCACTTCCGTTTCCTGCTAATATAGCTCAGTATTCTGATCACAGCTAACTGCGAGGGGCCCAAAGGGGGACGACCTGCTTGTCTGTCAGAGTGAGAAGACGACCTGGATTCGGATGAGTGGAAAGCATTCTCAGCACTGGTGAGTCTGTACTTACACTCCACACTGCACTATATGAAATGAAAGTGTGGTTAATAGAGCATCTTTTGTTTTAACATTTCCAGATACCCAGATGATTCATGGTTAATACTGAAAATTTTCTTTCTCTGCTAACATCATGATGCTGCAGCGCTCTATCCTGAATTTGCATGTCTCTGTTATTTTCTCCAACTAGAAACTTGACTCTCCACTCTGTTTGATGAAAATAACTTCCTATAAAAAGATCTAAGGATTCCCACAAGTATAGCTCAGTCAGAAACTTTATTTAGCCCCTTTAAAGTGGAAAACCATTTGGAAAATAAAAATTTGAGGATGTGATACTATAGATAGAAATTGTAATTAAAACAAACAAGTGCAAAACAAAACAAGAAATTAGTCTTCACAGAAAATTCAGAAAGAACTAGAACACGCAGTGTTTAGTGGCACTATCATCACTGGTGAGCAGTGACTCTTAACACATTGCTGGGTTAACCCACCCATCTAAGCATCAAAACTCAGCCAGTCACACCAACTATGGTCACTTCTCAGTAATCAAAAGAGGTGCTTTTCTCTGGCCCTCAAAGTAGGGAAGAGCTGACACTATTTCCCAGCGTGACCATCTTTCTCTTCCTCTAATTATGTTCCTCTGCTCTGGAATTCATTAACCCGTCTCCTTCTTTTTCTTCAACAATTACCTCGATTAAATGTTTTCCATATTGATTGTTGCTTTCCATCATCTTAGATGTCCTCCCACCACCTAAAAGTAATAATGCCCAGTGTCCTGATGCCGTTCGCCTGCTGACACTTCCTTTTTGTCAATGCAATTATTTCATGAGGACATACAATGAGTTGCCATGCACTCTTGGCTTTTGAACTCTGAGTTGCAAACTTTCTTTTCTTGTGATTGTTCACGAAGCAAGGCCAGATGTTGTGCACTCAATCCTGTAATGTTTCTCATTTACCTTTACTCTGTAATTTTCCACCTCATTATTCCTTGCCCAAATAAGTGCAATGACCAATGACCCCCTAACTAAAATTCTTACCTCCACGTTTCATGTCCATAGTTCATATTCTTTTTGCAAAGTGACCATAAATCATATATATGGTAAACTCACCTCACATTAATCTAATGGAATGAAAATGAGAGCATTTTCCCATAGCATGAAAATACATTATAATTTTGTTCAAAAGTTTATCCTACAGGAGAAGTCTTCACTTTTACCTCATTCTTTTTCTTATGCTTTCTTTATAAACCATCATCAAACCTTTCATATCTATCCTTGAGGAACCCAGTTGTGCATCCATACTACTGTGTACAGCACACGTACCTAGCGCAAGTGTTAGTATTTTCAGGACAAAAAGGTGGGTGTCTGACTCTTCATAACTGAAGCCCCTGTTTATTTTGAGTCTCACACTCACCTCAATGGCATGAATTTTATGTAGTCAAGTGAAGATTGGTTCAGTCTCCCTAGAACTGAGCTACAATGCTGGAGATATTTTCGTATCAATGAACAGGGCTAAGAAGCCCTGGTCTTAGTTATCTGGTCCTTACTAAAATTTATGGAGAAGGTGATGTCCATCCGGCCTTGCACACACCTGTTGAGCTCTCAGGTGCAGCATCCACTTGGTGGGTGGCACACATTGTCACCTGCGAGTACATGTGTTCGCCCGAGCCTTGTGGCCTCTCTTTGCAGCCTGTCCCTGCAGTGGGACAGACTTTCCGTTGCTGTGGGAAGCACCAGATGATCAGTGAGTGCAGTCTAGGACACTAGTGCAATTTTGAGGGATGTATGGGGCCACTGGTGCCCTTGTGCTGCTCACACCCATGTTGTCTTCAAGTCCAAGTTCAAGTCACTGATGTTCAGTGAGTTCTGCAAGCTGCTGCTTTTCTTCTTTTTCTGTATGGGATTTGGGTCACAGATATTTTCTGCTTTTACACTCGTACAATGATTTGGGTGGTAATTCATCCTTTAGTGGAGCTGGTGATAAAAGAAGGGTGTGAGGAACAGGAAGAGAACTGGACGCAGACTCACTTTCTCATCACATCTTAATTCTCTCCTCCCCTCTCTCTCCCTCTCTCTCTCATTCTCTCTCTCTGTATCTCTCTGTCTCTGTCTCTTTCTATGTCTCTCTTCACCAATCCCAGAGGACAGCAATTGGTTTATTTAACAAGGTATTATTTCACTCACCTTGGGATGTCACAGAAAAATAACCACTGGTCAGGGAGCTGAAAACACAGCAGTTTACTTCTGAAAACTCAGAGACTAAGAAGCCCAAGACCAAGATGCTGCTGGCCAGGTTCTGGTGAGATGGTCCTGGGGGGCTCAGGGCCACAGCCTTGCTATGTTCACAGGACAGAAGGGAGGCAGATTTCCAGTGTCTCTTCCTCTTACGAGGGCACTAATCCCTTCAAGGAGCCCCATCCTCATGACCTCACATAAACTTCGTTACCACCCCCACCTTGAAATATCTCCATAGGAGTTTAGGGGGACACAGACATTCAGTCCACAGCAGCACTTTTCTCTCACATGGAGCTGGACATCATCTCTGAGTATCAACAGGCCACATCTTTAAAAACTTTCTTACAAACTGCTTGAAATGAGCAGTTTTGCTAGTTGTATCTTTCCTTCCCTGAGCTGGTAGATTTGTGAAACGTAAGTTGCATGTGAAAATGAGGTGAAGGCTCAAAAGAGATGAAGGAAGGACTGGAAATCAAAAACTCCTGGCTTACTATCTTCAGATAACCTTCAAGAAAGGAAGTGGGTACCAGAGGTCATTCCAGACATGTAGAAAAAATCACAGAGTCTCTGAATTTCTCATGGATGCTGAACTGAGAATCTAAATATTTGTGAAATATGTTGAATTAATGGAAAAATCTATCTTTTTTTGTATATTTACTACTTTTTTTAACCAAGTCATGTAAGAAATAATAAAATCTGATTTAATTGAGTAGCTGCTTAGTATTCTATTTTTATTTGATAAATGAAGCAGTTACTAAAATATTATGTTTAAAACCCTGGTAGGAGTTTGTCGTTTAATTTGTTTCATTCTCTTATAAGTGTTCACAACCTATCAGTACATGCTGAAATGTCTATAGCTTAGCTATGAAGTGAAAGCTTTCAAAGTATTGTTTTTCTCAGTGCCACATATTAAAGGCTTAAATAGCCAATTCTAAAGATACTTGAATGTTGCTTACTGTTTTACAAATGCTTTTATAACATGTAAAAATGACATTTATTAGCTCCCTGGTTATTTTTCTTTATGACTGTGAACAATGCAGCCCAAGGAAAAAAAAGAAACGGGATTGCATGCAAAATCTGAAAAGGTTACAGATAATTATCTAGGAAGCAAAACAACCAACCAGAAGGAAAATGAGAGAAATAAAAGAAGGGAATTAAACTGGGACCCAGTGCAAGGCATTCAGAAAATAGAAAGTGCACATCTCCTCTTTTGTTGGTTATTTTATCGGAGAGGACCAAAGTATCATTTTAAAATTAAGAAAATGAAAAGATTCATCATCTTAGAGGAACTTGAAAATTATGATGAAGATACATGATTGAGCAGTGATTAGCAACAGGAATAAATTGAAATTCTTTTTAAAAAATAAACAGCATGATAGAAGTTGTTTTTTTTATTTTGTTGTATTCATTCATGGGTCATATGATTATGAAACAATATGTAGGATTATGGTTTCCGTATGTGCTGCAACAAAATTACAATTAAAAGCAAGAAAATATAGCATTAGCAATAAAAAAGCATGGTTTCAAGTGCAGATTTGTGCTCCTTTTTAGCAGTTTGAGCCTGATCAATTTACTAATTCCTTTGGCTCTTGGTTTTATCATATATAAAAGGGAATGATGAGGAAAATGATAAAATGTCTCATTTACCAACTTGATGCATAAAACATTTAGTGTGTTAATGCATATAACCATGCTTTATAAATTGTTAATTAAAGTAAAATGTCATATATTTTATATTTCTGTCTAAGAATTTTCCTTTGCATTTGAAATTCTGCTAGCTTTTCCAGAAAACACCAAGAGCTTGAGAGAAATATGTAGCAAATGTTCGTGTAAATTATTATTTGACTCAGTTTTTCACCTTTTCCACCCACCATGCTCATTGAAGTGATTTTCATCTCTTCTGTTCCTGAAGTCTCTCATGCCATATGATATCTATCTATGCTGCGTTGAACTGCACTTAGAAAATTATTTCTCCACGGAACTCAAAGAGAGCTTGATACCACGTGAGGCAGGTATTACTGTAAGGCATTGTGACTGAAAAGAAAGGAAAGCTGCTCATTATGTCAATTACATTTATGGGAAGCAAGGGAACCCAGTTTCCCATCCCTCTTGTGAATTCTTTCAGTAAATTAAATTATGAGCATGCAGACTTGTTTAATTAACAGAGTGCACTGCAACTTGGAATCATACCCTCCGCACTTTGAGAAAGCACCACATCGCAGCTTCAGGGTTGGCTTTCCTGGATACTCCATCACAAACGGCCATGCATGGCCCTCAGTTTTGAGACAAGGGAGTTTCACTGTTGTCCTGTTAGGTCAGACATCAATAAACCCGGAGTTGACAATGGTAGACTGGGCTTAGGCGTTCAACAAATATGTTGGATCAGAAGAAAACAGTCTAGAAACATACATCATGCTAACAGTGTGGTATTTTCCCAGTAGTTTTGGCCAATGATGAACTGCTCTATACATAAAAATGCCAGAGATTGGACAGTAGCTTGTAACTCCTTGGTATAGTTACATTGTGTGATTGAAGCTGATTGAATCAACGAAAATAATCTGAACAACTCTAAAGTATTTCTGTTCCTAGAGGTCTAAAAATTCAATTTGGCAAATGTTTGTTGAGTTTGTGTTTTATGCAAAACACTTCCATATACTGCTGGATTGCTGAGAAGACAATTTTGACAACTCACAGTCAGCTAAGGCTGAACTGCAAACCTAAACTCTACAAATCTATGTGATCTGTACCTAATAGGAATGTTTG